CTCCGTCTCCTGTCGTCCACGGGGCCATCCTCGCAATGCCTGGCACGGTCCGGCCGAGGTATAGGATGGCGGTCGGCTCGGGGAGGTCACCACACATTCTTCGTGCTTGTTGGGTGTTCCTGTGCATCCGGGGCGAGGGCACCCTCGACTGCTCTTCATTTTGGCCGGCGGAGGTCCTCTTGTTGTTGGGGGATGTTTTTCCGTCCCACGTCCGGCCGTACAGTGGAGGCCCATGCCAAGAAGCACCCTGCTCGCCTCCAGGGTGCCCTGGGTCTCTTGGGCTTGGACGGCTTTGCGATGGGAAGGCGTGACGTGCCCACACCACGCCTCCCTGGACGTCCTGGGGTCCCAGGGTTGGGCTTCTTGCGGAGGGTTTCTTGTGGTCGGGCCCCTGCTGTACGGGAAAGCACCCTTCCTCATGGAGGCCTTGCTCGGGCAGGGCCGGGGCGAGGATAGGTCAGCTCCAGAGCCTTCTGGAGCGCTCTCACTGAGCTTCCCGGGACGCTCCGAGAAGGCCGCGGTGCCCGATGCATCCTCCAGAGCCGCCAGATCTCAGAGCTTCCCGACGTATCCTCGCCCGATGTTGTCCTCGTCCTGGCTTCGTCTTGGGAGAGGCGGGGGGAGGGAGGGAAGCATTCCAGGGGAGAGGCGAAGGAGGGAGGGATGGGAGCGGCGGACGGAAGGAGGGGGGGGGGCGAGGGAGGGGAGGGAAGGAGCGGGGCTCCCGCTGGATCCTCACCCGAGGTTCGCCTCGGCCCGGCTTCTGCTCGGGCCCGCCTCGCTCCAGGGGCGGCGGGGCCCGCGCCGCCCGGGCGGGGCGCGCGCTCGGGCGGGGATCGCGGGGGAACGCCCTGCCGTGCGGGCGGGGATCTCTGGGGGGGAGCCCTGCCGTGTCGCTCCAGGGGCGGCGGGGCCCGCGCCGCCCGGGCGGGGCGCGCGCTCGGGCGGGAGGAGCTCTCGGAGAGCGGGGGGCGGTGGAGCCCTGGCGTGCGCGCGGGGCGCCCCCCGAAGGCCGAAGGACGCGCTCCGGCCGGGGACCCTTGCGGGGCGAGGCGGCCCGTTCCGGCGAGGGCTTTTGCTCCCCAGGAGGCACCACCACAGGGAGCAGTCGCTGCCAAGAGCCTGGGGCCTCGATCTGCGCGAGGACTCGCGGGGGACTCGCGGGGGATGCTCTGGGCGGGGACCCGCGGGGGGTGCGGCCCGCGCAGGCGAGGGCCTGCTCCCCAGGAGGCACCACCACAGAGAGCGCTGCCACAAAAGTCGGGGGCGGCAAAGAGAGGGGGGTGATGACTAGGGGAGGGGGGGATATCACGGCGGGGGCCATGATAGCTCCCCAGATTTCATGGCGCCTCTTCTGATTTCATTGCGTCCCTGGCCCCCCCGCTGGGGTCATGATTTGCACCCCCCCCTCTTGAACACCCCCCTCGTGGCCGCTCCCGAAGAAGCCTGGGGCCTCGCTCTGCGTGAGGCGCACCCACGGCGCCGGCCCGCGTGCGGAGCCGGTTCGGATCTTCCCGCGAGCCCAGGGCGAGAAGGGGGCGCGCACGCGGGGGGCGTGCCCAGACGGCGGTGGGCTCCCGGCGTCTGCGCATCGGTGCCCTGCCGTAGGGGTGAGCTGCGTGGGGTCCTCGGCATCGCTTGGACGTGTGCATTTTTCCTTCGGCGAGGACCATTGAGGAGCATCCTTGATCATTTGGCGAAAGAGCCACGCACGAAACCGAAAAAAAAACACAGGAAATGGACGTCCGAGCGATGGCCAGGGTCGGACAGGACACCAGGTGACGTCGCCTTCGCTCGAGGTCAGCCGCTTCAGCTACGGGAGCGCGGCGACGACGACGCAGTCGATGGCTGCTGCCTGTGGCCAACGGCGTACATGACCACACGCCCCGGCTATCCGCCAGCGTTCCCGTCTTCCTCTGTGCCGATGTCCCGTCCGGGCGCGAGGCTCATTCTTGCTCGCTCGCCCGCTCGATCCTCGAACCTCGGGGCCCCCTCCCCCTCCTGACCACACGCCCCGGCTATCCGCCAGCGTTCCTGTCTTCCTCTGGTGCCAGTGTGCCGTCCGGGCGCGAGTCAGCCACGCGCAGAGAGGGGTGGAGGGAGGGGGGAGGGCGTCTTCGGAACACCCCTGCTTCTTAGAAGGCGCGGGCCTTATCTATAGATATAGCGCCGGCGCCTTCTAAGAAGCATTCCCTTTCTAAGAAGCCCTCCCCCTCCCCCCACCCCCGTGTGCGCGCCGCCATGCGAGGCTCATTTTTGCTCGCTCGCCTGCTCGATCGTTCGAGCCTCGGGGCCTCCCCTCCCCCTCCTGACCACACGCCCCCGCTATCTGCCAGCGTTCCCGTCTTCCTCGGGTGCCGATGTGCCGTCTGGGCTTCTGATGTTCCAGCCTACCTTGGCCTGAACCACCAGAAAGAATTCCGAGCACCAAGAGCGCACCGAAACCCCAGGGTTTTCAGGTGTCGGACCCCGGGAGGCGCTCGTTCGACGCTGCTTCGACACCGCCTCGGCACTTTTCTCTCCGGGTGCTCGGAGTTGTTCCCGGGATGTGGCCCTTGCAAGTACGATGGGAGCAACAGAAGTCTGGGCGCGAGGCCCGCTCTTGCTGGCTCGCCTGCCACGAGCCCTCGAGCCGCTCGGGGCATCTCCCCCATCCCGGAGCGGCGGCGCGGCCCCAGGGGGGGGGAAGGCCAGTGGGCGGAGGCCATTCTCGCAGCCTCCTCCCCCTCCTCTTCCTCCTCCTCCTCCTCCTCCTCCTCCTCCTCCTCCTCCTCCTCCTCCGCCTCCTCCTCCGCCTCCTCCTCCGCCTCCGCCTCCGAGGAGCGAACCGCTTCAGAGAAGCCCCGCTTCCCCAGACCGCCTCGAGTCGTGACAAGAATCACGACGGGAGGCTCTTCCATATTTTCGGCCTCTCGGGGGCCCTTGCCGGTCCTCGGCACCGTGCAAAAACGACTCAGGATGGAAAGCCGGTTCCGGAGAATGGGTCGAGACCTCAGAGGGTCGACGTCATGAAAAAATCATGACGTCGGGGGGCCTTCTGGAGCCCGCTTCTTCACCCCCTGGCGAGAACTCGGCGGCGAGCCGAGGGGGAAGTGAGAAGGGGCGGGCCTGCTCAGAAGGCTGGGAAGTCCGCCGGCCTTCTGAGGAAGTCTTCTGCGCCTTCCCCAGAGACACTGACAGCTTCTCAGGAGGCGCGAGGGGCTTCTGAGAGTCCTGCGCCGCCTTTTGAGGAGGCCCTCTCCTTCTCAGTTCCCCCCCCTCGCTCGCCGCCGACTGACGGGTGCGACCTGGGGGGAAGGGCGGGGGAAGGGACTGGTCACGTCACGATTCGCGCCGGCGCCACTCTGGAATGCTCCAGAATGGCTCGTTCCCGGACGGCGCTGGTGCGAATCGTAACGTGACCAGGGGCGGGAGGGGGGGGGTTCGGCGCCGGTCACGGGTGTCATCGCGAGTACTACGGCAATGCAGCAACTGTCCCTGAGAAGGGGCGCCAAAAGGCCGATTGTTCTCCGTAGCCGCTGCGCCTTTGCTGCGCCTCTGGCTTCTGGGGAAGGGAGCCCGCACCTTCAAGATGCAGCGGACATGGATACACGTCTTGCCCGCACTCCCACCTCCCCCCTCGCCGCCCCCCTCCTTCCCTCTTCGTGGTGAGGCTCATCTGAATGCTCTGCGCACGGACGTGTGCGAGCTGTCGGCCGCCTTGCGTTTCTCCGTCTCACGCTGCGGCGCAGCCCTGCTGTGGTGATATGCGGTCAAGGAGGTTGGAGTCGCTCATCATTGCTGGTGTCGGGCATGTCTCTTTACAGGAGGAATAATTAAAAATAGTCAGAACATAGTCTGGGGACGACTGTTGGACCATTTTTGAATATTTTGTTCTTTATTTGTTGGGCATATTTTCATCTGTGGTCCAGAATCCGCCTGTAGGGGGACACGCCCGACCTGATTCTGGTGGCGTTGACTGACCCAACGGAGGGAACAAAAGAAAAATACACATAAAAACCTTTACGCCCCGCGGCTCCCCCCCCCTTTGGGGACAGCGCAGGAAAGGGAGGGGGGGTGGTACGCCTGCGAGGGGCGAGAAAACAGGAGGGAGGGGGGAATGCTTCCGGCAGGGCAGCTCCAGGGGGGGGGGGGTCACCCTCCCCCCTTCCACGGGCGCGCTCGCCGTGTATACGGACGAAATCCCTCGGAGGCGGCCTGGATGGAGGAGGAGGGAGGAGGGAGGAGGAGGAGGAGGCGGAGGAGGCGGAGGAGGAGGAGGACGCGGAGGAGGAGGACGGGGAGGGAGGAGGAGGGAGGAGGACGCGGAGGAGGAGGAGGAGGAGGAGGAGGAGGAGGAGGAGGAGGAGGAGGAGGAGGAAGAAGAAATCCCCCCCCTCTCTTGGAGTTTTTTTCCCAACCCTCCTGTGGTGTCGGGTCTTCGTTTTGAAGAGACGGTCCCGCGTTCCTCCCTCCCTCCCTCCCTCCCTCCTCCTCCCGCTCCTCCCTCCTCCCTGCGTTTCACCCACCTAGCACAGCGTTCGTGGCCCATGAGGAGCTCCACCGGTGCCCCCAGTGGGACCGCCTGCATGCGTCCCGAAAACCCACTTTGGCACACCCTCACACGTTTCGTGGCCCCATAGGGAGCTCCACCGAAGGCCCCAGTGGGACCGCCCGCATGCGTCCCCCACACCCATTTCGGCACACGCCTCACACGATTCGTGGCCCCATAGGGAGCTCCACCGAAGGTCCCAGTGCTACCGCCCGCATGCGTCCCCCCCACCTAGTACAGCGCTTTGTGGCCCCATAGCGAGCTCCACCGAAGGTTCCAGGTCTACCGCCCACATGCATCCCCACCACCGACGGCCCCAGTGCTACCGCCCGCATGCGTTCCCCCCCACCCAGTGCAGCGCTTCGTAGACCCCTAGGGACCTCCACCGAAGAAGATATTCACAATTGCGGTACCCACAACTGCATATGGTTAGGTCCTTCGCCCGGATAATGTTTATAAATCCTGGGAGGCGCCGCTGGCCACGCTGGCACCCGTGGCGGACCTCGCCGCCGTGCCGCACATGCGCTCCAGCGCCCTGCGGAGGCTGGCCCAGGCGGCCGCGGCCGAGGGCGGCAATCCCCTGGTCTGGCAGGCGATCACCGAGCGCTGCCAGGACCGCCGGGACGACGACGCAGGAGGAGGAGGAGGAGGAGGAGGAGGAGGAGGAGGAGGAGGAGGAGGAGGAGCAGGAGGAGCAGGAGGAGCAGGAGTAGGAGGAGGAGCAATCTCTAGGAAGAGGAGGAGGAGAAACCATTGCGCTTGACGAGGCTTCGAGGGAAGTGGCCCGTCTTCTTAATACATAGGTATCAAACGGCTGTAGTCTAGGCTGCTTGCGCCGCGCCAATGAAAGCAGTACTTGCCTTGAGATTCTGGCGGCTCTACTTTTTCGAGCCAGGCTTTGTCGCTCCACGTCGGGCCCTAGGGCCCTCACATAGTTGTCGATCCGGCTTGAACCAGCCACGCGCAGAGGGGTGTGGGGGGAACGGGGAGGGCTTCTTAGGAACACCCCTGCTTCTTAGAAGGTGCGGGCCTTCTCTATAGATGTAAAGGCCGGCGCCTTCTAAGAAGCCCTCCCCCCTCCCCCTACCCCTTTTGTGCGCGCCGCCAATCAAAGAGTGACGCAGCAAGATGGGGTCTGGGGGTCGGGTCGTGATTTTTCTTTGCGATGTTGCACTTTTCTGCAACGTCGGATCACAGGGTCAGAGAAGGGGAGGTACAGATACCGCTGCCTTTCCCTCGTCGCCGCGGCTTTGATTCTCCTCCGAATTCCTGGCCAGAATGAATGCTCCCCAAGAGAACCCGGAGAGCACAGTGGAGGCCCATGCCAATAAACACCTTGCTTGCCCCCAGGGTGCACCGGGATTCTTGGGTCCCAATGGTTCTGCTGCGGAAGGCGTGACGGTCCCGCGCCAAAAGTTCATCGGCGCCCTGGGGTCCCAGGATTGGGTTTCTCGTGGAAGGTTTCTTGTGGACTGGCCCCGACAGTGCCGTTTTTAATACATGCCCCGCGTGCGGATCATGTATGAAACATGCAGGGGTTTAGTATGAAAACAACGATGACCTCACTCACAAATTCACATATATTAATCATGTACCCTAAATCCCATAATTTTCAAAGTCCTATGTATTAAAAACTGCCCCGTGCTGCAGCAGCACCGATGCCTTCTTTGAGTCGACCCCCCCCCCAACAGAGTGCTCGGTGGCACCCGTCGCGCGCGTCTGGGGCTCGCCGCCACGGCCCGGGCCCGCCTCGGACTTCGGCGGAGGCGCGAGAGACGACGACGACGACGATGACGACGACGACGAGGACGACGACGACGACGACGAAAACGAAAACGAAAACGACGACGACGAACACGACGACGACGGCGGCGGCAGCGACGGCGACGGCGACGGCGACGGCAACGACGACAGCGGCTTCGGCGACGGCGAAGGCGTCAACGGTAATTATGACTACGCAAGCATGGTACATGCAACTATACATGTGTACAATAATCACAGGATGAGTGGAGAGCGAGAGCAAGAGAGAGAGAGAGAGAGAGAGAAAGAGAGAGAACGAGAAACTGTTTCACGTCGCAGCGCGGCAGAGGCAGTCCGCTCGCGCGTCCAGGCCACCCGGGATGCGAGATTGCGGGAATTGCCCCACATGCAAGAGGAGAGGAAAGAGCCGAGGAGCGGCCACAAAAACAGGCAGCGGAAAAGGGGGGCGCACTCAGGCGGCGAGGCCGCGAGGGAGGAGGAAGAGGAAGTGGAGGAGGAGGAAGAGGAGGAAGAGGAGGAAGTGGGAGAGGAGGAAGAGGAGGAAGAGGAGGAGGAGGAGGAGGATCAGGAAGAGGAGGAGGAGGAGGAGCAGGAGGAGGAGGAGGAGTAGGAGGATCAGGAAGAAGAGGAGAAGACGCAAGAGGGATGAGAGGAGGAGGAGGGAGAGAGGAGGAGGAGGAGGAGGGAGGAGGGAGAGGAAGGAAGGGAGGAGGAGGGAGAAGAGAAGGGGAGGAGGAGGAGGAGGGAGGGAGGGAGGAGAGGAGAGGAGCAGGAGGAGGAGGAGAGGAGGAGGAGGGAGGAGGACGGGGAGGAGAGGAGAGGAGAGGAGGAGGAGGGGAGGAGGGAGAGGAGAGGAGGAGGAGGAGGAGAGGAGGAGGAGGAGGAGGAGGAGGACGAGGAGGACGGAGGTGGAGGAGGGAGGAGGAGGGAGGAGGAGGAGGAGAGGAGGAGGAGGAGGAAGAGGAGAGGAGGAGGAGGGGGGGGGAAGGAAGGTGGAGGAGGAGGAGGAGGAGGAGGAGGAGGAGGAGGAGGAGGAGAAGGAGGAGGGGGGGGGGAACAAGTGGAGGAGGAGGAGGAGTAGGAGGAGGAAGAGCTGGAGGAGGGCTCAAGAGGAGGCGACCAGGAAGGCCTCGGCAGGCCACTGGCCCCGGATCTCCTGGCGGGGATGGCCTCCCGCGCTGGCCAGGGTGCGAAGCTCAACAAAGAGGTATGGGGGGCCCAGGGATGGATTCGAAAACAACGAAGCTCAGAGGAGGAAAAGGTATCCCATACCTCTGCCCCCTCGCCCGTTTTTCCCTTGCTGGGCCTCCTTTGGGCGCCCCCGTCGCCACCGTTGGATTCGCCTCGCAATCCTGGTCCGAACGCTCCCTCGGAGAGGTCCTCGGCTTAGCGGTATCGGCACTTTGGTGTCCCCAACGAAGTTCCAACAAATTCATCAAAATCGACGAACATCAACGAAATGCAACATATAGAGATTCAAAAACCCGGGGGCCCGGGCAGGGCGTTCCACTTGGCTTGATGTCTCTCCTGCTTGCCGTCTTGCCTGTTCGGTAGCAAATCATGGGAGCCTGGTGTACCATCGTATGTCCGTCTTTAGTGCCGTTTCGAGTAAATTTGCGTCTGGGAGTCGACGAGACAGCGCCGGTTTAGCGTCGGCCAGCGTCCGTTAGCGTCGCTTCAGCGTAGAGCTGGCAGGATGGCATGGGAGGCTTCCATGAGCTGCCGCCGAAGGGGGTGGGGATCTGACATGGCGCGTCCCGGGACTGCCCCCGCACGCGGCGCACCCTCGCCCTCGGTGCCGGCGGGCGGCCGGCCAGCGGAGGCCCACGGAAGCACGGCGGGGGCGGCTGCGCCAGCGGGAGGCCAGCAGAGGCACTGGCGATGCCATCACGGCAACGTTGTCGGATCCGCGGTTTCCGGGGTCGGCCAGGTGGACTCTGTGGGGGCGTGGTGATGGCAGGAGCATCCCGTCCCTCGGCAGGATCAGGCGGAGCAGCTGCACTACTGGGACATCGTCCTGATCCTTCAGGCGTTCACGGAGGCGAGGTTGGAGAACAGGAGCTTGCTGATGCGCCTGGCAGAGGCTCTGGGCGCCAAGTCTTCGAAGCTGGCCCCCAAGCACGTGCTCGACGTGCTCGCGGTCTACGAGGCGCACGGCATCCGGCCGAGGTCGCTCTACGTGGAGCTCTTCCACGCCCTGGTCCGGCTGTCCAGGTCCATGTATCCGGAGGAGATCTCAATCACCCTGCAGTGCCTCGCGCGCCACGGCTTAGGCAACCCCACTGTGCTGGCCCACATGATCCGCGCGGCGCTGACGCAGCTCAGGGACTTCCGCATGCGGTACTCTGGCGGGGCCAGTACAAAGGAAACTCCGCTCCAGCCCTGGCTCGCTCGTGGAGCGCTCCCGACCGCTCTGGAACGGCCGCGGCGACCGATGCATCCCCCTGAGCCGCCGGATTTCAGAGATCCATCGATTCATCTCCGCACGACATGTTCCTGGTCCTGGCCCCGTCCAAGGTACCTCTGCGGCGCCGCTGGGGCGCTGGGCTCGCTCAAGGCGTGCCCGGCGCCGCTGCTCGAGCGGCTGGACGCCCAGGCGAGGTTCGCGGCGGAGACCGTGCCACTGCAGGAGCTGCTGGCGGACCTGCAGGCCTTCCCCCGGCAGGAGTTCTCCTGGAGGCCCTACGAGGACGGGGCGGCCCACGCCGCCCTGGGGGCGCCCTGCGCTCGGCGTCGTCGTCGTCGTCCTCGTCGTCAAGGATCGGACTGGTTCGATGCTCGCTTCCGCGCGTGCTGGCCCGCGCGGTGGCGTGTGTCGAGCTGGTCCGGGCAGGCTCAGGGGGGTGCTGGGCGGTCATTCGCTGCCCCTGGGTGCGTGGCAGAGGTGGCGTTCCGTCTGGCAGTTTCTGCTGGCTCTGTTGTTCATGATGTTGCTGTTGTTGGTGTTGTTGGTTATAGTGTTGTCGTTGTTGTTATTGTTGTTGTTGTTGGTGTTGGTGTTGGTGTTGTTGTTGTTGTTGTTGTTGTAGATGTTGTTGTTGGCGGTGTTGTTGTTGTTGTTGTTGTTGGTGTTGTTGTTGTTATTGATGTTGTTGTTGACGGTGTTGTTGTTGTTATTGTTGTTGTTGTTGAACATTATTTATTCTAAAGAATAATTATTGTTGGGCCCCCTGGTGCGCGCCCCCCCTGCGCCGCCTAGGCCGCAGCTACATTTTCATCATTTTCGTGAGGAAGCCTCAGAAAAGAGGGTGTGTACAGGATCCGGTTGTTTTGTTGTAATCCGCTTTCCCTTGCAAAAAACAATAGAAAATGACATTTCTTGTTCTAATATAATCAAATTTCAAGAATCCCTTGCAAAAAATAAGGTAAAGTGGACATTCGCGCGCGCAAGACGAAATCCTTCCAAAACCTTAGTGTTCGCAGCGATTTTAACATAAAAACATCAAAAAACCAATGGTTTTTCAACAACAAATTGTCAAAATCTCATCCCGCGCGCTCTTGCGGATTCGTAGGAAACCCAACACTTTTTAAACATTTCTGTCAAACGGGCTTTTGCGAGCAACTTTTTCGAACTTCTGCGACAACGGTTGCGCACCTGCCAGGGCCATCATCCCTGTCAAATAATACCATGCGGGACACATTCGTTTTTTCTTCGCGCGCGCACGCCGTCGTCGTCGGCCGCGGGGCCCTGAATAGTAGCCACGGTCGTCCGCATGCCACGAAGTGAAGTGTCCGAACGTCATAGGGCGGGAAGCTGGGTGTGGGTGGTGGCGAAGAGTCGTGTGGATATTTGGTAGAGCTTGCACTGCCCCCCCCACAAAGTGGGGGTATTGGCTGGCGTCGCATGAAAACCCTGGCACTGGTGAGAACACTGAGCGTTCGGGTAAAGTGATTGTTGTTGTTGTTGTTGTTGTGTTTGGTGGTGTTGGGTGTGTTGGAAGTTGTGGTTGTTGTTGGTGTTGTTGGTGTCGTTGTTGCTGCTGTTGGTGTTGCTGCTGTTGTTGAATTCTCATTTCTGAAGAAAATTATTGCTGATCCCCCCTCACCGGTGCATAGTGTTTTTTCTCAATCAAAGTCTGCCCCTCGACGCTCGCACCCTGTTTTTTGACAGGGAAAGTCTTCCTGCTCAAACTAGCCCCCTGGCCCCCGGGTTACATCAACAACGGCTCCCGCCTGAGACCTCCTTACAATTTAGCCAGGACCCCCGCTCCCGTCCTCGCATGTTATTCAGGGATCGCGCTCTCGCTTGGGACTTCCTTGCAATTTATTCAGGAATCGCTCTCCCGGCGCTCTGGAGTCGCGCTCTCGCTGGAGACTTGCTTGCAACTTATTACTGAAGAATGGCCTTGCGTTGGAATTTCTTGCAATTTGCACAAGCGCCGCGCTCCCGACGCCCAGGCACCCAGGAGTCGCGCCCGTTGTGGCCCCATGTGCATGCCCTTCGTGGCCCCGCTGTCGCCATTTGTGTCCCCCTCACTGTCCTACGTGGCCCAGTTGCTACCCTCAGTGGCCCCATAGTTGCCTTCTGTGGCCCCGCATTATCTGCCCTTCGTGGCACCCGCTCGTTCGCGCTCTTCGTGGCCCCATAAGCATTCTCTTCGTGTCCCAGCTGTCGCCCTTCGTGGCCTACTTCGTGCCCTTCGTGGCCCTGCTGTCGTTCTCTCTCGCTCTCGCTTTCGCTCGTCGTCGCCGTCGTCGTCGTCGTCGCCGTCGTCTTCGACGTCGTCGTCGTCGTCGTCGTCGTCGTCGTCGTCGTGGTCGGTCCCCTGTCCGTTCCTCTTGGGGTCGGGTCGACGGTCCGCGGCCGCCCCGCCGATCAGCGCTGCCGCTGGCCAGGCCGACGGTCCGCGGCCGCCCCGCCGCTTGCCGGGGCCCGGCCTGCAGAGAAGAAAGGTATACCCCCCAAAAGGGGTTCGATCGAAGACGAAGAGGGCGGGTATGGAGGGTTTGGGAAATACGCGTTATTGGACACTCGAGCATATAAGGGGAACAGTCTTAATAGTATAGCTGTTGTTGTTGCTGCTGGTGTTGTTCTTGCTGCTATAGTTTTGGCACTGTTGTTAATGTTGTAGGTGTCAGTGTTGTTGTAACTGTCAAGAAACATGCTCTCGCTCTCGCGCTGGCTGTTCTCACGATCTTCGTTGGAATCGTGCTGTCGCTCGAGCTCTCCTCGCGATTCATGCATGACTCACGCTTCAGCAACACGTCTTCTCGACCTGGCTGCCTGGACCCGCCTTCCGACCCGCCCGTCAGGGTCTACCTGCTCGATGGGCCCGTCTGGTTCAGCCATGTGCGTTCTGCTCTTAGCCCCCCTCCTGCTAATCCCGTGCTCCATCCTTCTTCCCCCCCTTTCAGACTTCTCTTCTTGTCTTTTGTGTCAGGGGCTGTGTAAATTTCACGCGGCAGGTAAGGAAGGTATACCCCCCAGGGGTGCTACGATCGGAAACTTAGAGGGCTGGTACCGAAGGTGTGGTATGTACGTGTTGAATGGCACGCAAACAGGTAAGAGCGAACAATGTTAACATGAGTGTTGTTGTTGGTGTTGGTGTTGTTGCTGTTGCTGCTGCTGCTGTTGCTGTGATTGCCGATTTTGGTTTTGTTGTCGGTGTTGCTGCTGTTGTTGTTAGTGTTAGTGTTGTCGTTCCTGTTAGTGTTGAATCATCATTGCTAAACCATACTATTGTTGCCCCCCTTCTGGTAACCATTGCATCTTTCAATTAACATGCCCCCCCTCGGGGCTCGCACCCTGTTAAGTACAAGGGGAAGCGAGGGGTCATCAAACTGGGCTGCTGGGCCAGAACAATGGCTCCCGCGTGATCCTTCCTCACCATGTATTCCAAAATCGCGCTCTCGCGCGGAACGCCCTCACACATTTTGCAGGAGCCGCGCTCTCGCGTGGAACCTCCTCACAATTTATTCAGACGCCGCGCCCTCGACACCCGGGAATCGCGCTCTCGCTCTGACCTTTCTCGCGATTTACTTGAGAATCGCGCTATCGCTCGAGCTCTCCCCTCGCTTCAAGCAGGAGTCACGCTTCAGCAACACGTCTTCTCGACCTGGCTGCTTGGGCCCGCCTTCCCGACCCGCCCGTTACGTAGGGTCTGTTGCCCGATGGGCCCGTCTGGTTCTGCCACGTGTTTTCTGCTTTTGGGCCCCCCCTGCGAATTCGGCGCCCCATCCTGCTAATCCCGTGCTCCATCCCTGAGGGAGTACGGGTCAAGACGAAAAGGGCGGGTACCGAGGGGCTGGGACATACATGTTGAATGGCACGTGAGCATAAAAGAGCGAGCAATCTTCAAATTAGTGTTGTTGTCGTTGTTGTTGTTGTCGTCGTCCTCGCCCGCGACCCACCGCCGACCCACCCGCGACCCACCCCGCGACCCACCCCGCGACCCACCCCGCGACCCACACGCGACCCATCTCGCGCCTGCGCCCGCCCCTGTCACTCTTATCCGCCATTGCGGGGCGCGGCGAAATTACACTTTTGGTGTCGTCCAAGAGGAGCTGGTCCAGGAGGAGTTGCTGTCCCGCTGCCGCGGGCTGGAGAGCGCCGAGGACGTCGACCAGTTCGCCGACCCGTTCGAGGCGATGCGCTTCCTGCAGTCTCAGGGGCACCTCCAGGACGGGTTCCTGGAGGCCCTCTGCCAGTGGTGCCTGCGGGGCGTGCACAGGCCTAACGTGAGGTCGGAGCGCCGCCCCACCGCCGAGCAGCTGGTGGAGCTGCACGCGGAGTGCCGGGAGCGCGGCCTTGAGGGCAGCGCGGCGCTGCAGGACGCCATCCGCTACTACGTGGAGTCCGGGGGGGGGCGCTGGCCGAGCCAAGCGCCAAAGCCCCTGAAGTACAAGAAGCGCCGCAGCTACATCGCCACGCCAGACCCGCTAGAGGGCCTCGTCGAGATGCCCGCCCACTCGGCGCCGTCGGCCGCCGGGCCCGCCTTCGCGGCGCAGCCAGTGGCTGATCTGCCCGGGCTGCCTGCGAGCCAGCCGCCGCCCGAGGATCTGCTGCTGACCACGGCGCCCGTCGCGACGGGCGCGCGGAGGAAGCCCTCAGCCCGTGCCGCCGGGCTCACGCCGGAGCAGTCCACGGTGCGCTGCTGGGTCACGTCCAGGAAGGGGCCGCGGCGCGAGGGCGAGGATCGCCGGCGGGCCCAAGTCTCAGTCTGGCATAACCTGTCCCAGATCTTACTGGCCAAGGGTGTCTCGGCCCCACCAGCCTCAAGCCGGGCTTGCCTTCTACAGGAGGAACATTCTAAAAGGGTCAAAAATAGTACGGGATTTTTTTTTGACCATGTTTGACTATTTTCGACTATGGTTCATTATTCGCTTGACTATTTTTCATTTTTCTGCAAAGTCTGCCTGTAGGGGGACATGTCCGACCTCAGATCAGCCCGCCCTCCTGGTGGGGATAGGCCCCGCGAAGCCCCGCGGGCACAGGCGTGTATTCCCACCCGGGCGGGTAAGTCGTCCAGAGCGGCCAAGGCCGCGCCAGTGGGGAAACGGACGAGCATCTGATTCGGACACATCCTCCCGAGAAGCTGGGCCGGCGCTTCTGAACTAGCTTGCCATGAAGCTGGCCCAGCATCTCCGGCGCCTGCGCCCCTCCAGCCCTGGCAACGGAAGTTGCCCCAGGTTTGTTTCGAGGCGCCCCGGAGGGCTGGCCCGGATTTGTTGAGCGGCAGGTTTCTTGATCCTATCCTCGGCTGTAGGCATCGCTCAAGCGATGCTCAAATGCCAGGCCGTCCAGCTGGGGCCGCGTGCGACGGGGTCGGGGGACGGGGCGCCGCACCGCCGACGGATCGGCCGTGCGGCTCGATCTGGGGCCCGGTGCTCTCAGTGCCGACGTCGCCGATGCATCGCCGATCGGCGAGGCGGCGCCATCCCCCGACCCCATCTGCTCTGGCCCCATGCTGGAGACCACCACCACTGCACCACAGTCGGGCATCTGGTCAGGGAGCCTCCTCCCGAGGAGCTGGGCCAGCGTTTCTTCGAACCAGCTTGCCGGAGAGCTGGCCCAGGTCCTCGGGCACGTCCGTCCCCCCAGCGGGAGCCGCAGAAGTCCACCCAGGGCTGTTTGAAGAGGCTCCCCGGAATCTGGCCCAGGTGTCTCACATGACTCGGGCCGGGCGAAAGGGGGGGATTGGGAAAGGGGGGGTTACGAAATTTGCTGCATGCAGCTGGTTTCGGCCTCACCGAGGGGCCCATTCCTCGATACATAGCCGCCTTCGGCGCCGGGAGGCGCCGGAAAAATCAGCTACGTGAGCTGATTCTCAAACCCCCCCTTTGCTATCCCCCCCTTTCGCCCGACCCGAATGACGACCCTCTGGATCATATGTCCGGCTGGGCGCCCGGCCTTGCGCCAGTGGGAGGGCGCCTCGGCCACCGGAGCATAGGCTCCGCCTCGGGCCTCGGTGGGCTCGCCGCCGTGGGGCTTGCCGTGGCGCCTGCTCTGCCTGCTTGGGCTTATAAGGCGGGCCGGTGCATCCACAGGAGGAAATTATTCACAAATGGTGAAAACATAGTCTGGGGACGATTTTTTTTACTACTTTTGAGTATTTTGGGATGTTTCCTGGGTGTTCTCGATTTTTCACCAAAAATATCCCTGTACGGGGACAGGCCCGACCTACGCTTGGGCGCGTGGCGCAGGGCCTGCCGCGGGTTAGCCGTGGTGTCGGCGTTGTCCGCATGAGCGCGTCGAGGACAAGCGGCCCAGCGACAGTTGCTGCGGCCGCACACAAGCGGCCTCCACCACAATGCAGTTAAATCGGTCATGCCCCTCTACAGGGGGAATAGTCAAAAATAGTCAACAAATTGGCCTGGGGACTCTCACTATTGTGGACCATTCGGGAACGTTTTTGGGGGTATTTGTTTATTTTTCGTGCAAAATCCGCCTGTAGGGGGGACATGCCCGACCTAACATTACACCGCGCCCACGGGCAGGCCAGGGAGCCGACGCGTGGACGCTGCAGCCTGCCACATCTCGGGGAGGCCAGGGCTCGACGCCCGAAGAAGAGCAGATCGCTGCACAAGCAGGAACTGTCTCAGGAGGGGAAGAGACGCACAGACGCAAGGAGTCGTCGTTTCCCCAGACAAGATGGGAAAACATGGGAAGTGGTGGGGAAGACGAGATTCAAAGACATATTGACAATTATCCTGGCGAAAGACCCAACCATAAGCAATTGTTGGTAACGCGTTGTGGGTGCCGCTTTCGGTGGGGCTCCATATGGGGCCACGAAGCGCTGCCTTGGATGGGGGAACCGCATGCGGACTGCGCCACCGGGGCGGGCCTTCGGTGGAGCTCCCTATGGGGCTACGAAACGCTGCCCTGGGTGGGGGAACCGCATGCGAACTGCGCCACTGGGGCCTTCGGTGGGGCTCCCTATGGTGCCACGAAACGCTGCCCTGGGCGGGGGAAGCGCATGCGAACTGCGCCACGGGGGCTTTCGGTGGAACGAAACGCTGCCCTGGGTGGGGGAACCGCATGCGAACCCCACTGGGGCCTTCGGTGGAGCTCCCTATGGGGCCACGAAACGCTGCCCTGGGTGGGGGAACCGCATGCGGGGCCTTCGGTGGAGCTCCCTATGGGGCCACGAAACGCTGCCCTGGGTGGGGGACTGGGCCTTCGGTGGAGCTCCCTATGGGGCTACGAAACGCTGCCCTGGGTGGGGGAACCGCATGCGAACACCCCCACTGGGGCCTTCGGTGGAGCTCCCTATGGGGCCACGAAACGCTGCCCTGGGTGGGGGAACCGCATGCGAACACCCCCACTGGGGCCTTCGGTGGAGCTCCCTATGGGGCTACGAAACGCTGCCCTGGGTGGGGGAACCGCATGCGAACACCCCCACTGGGGCCTTCGGTGGAGCTCCCTATGGGGCCACGAAACGCTGCCCTGGGTGGGGGAACCGCATGCGAACACCCCCACTGGGGCCTTCGGTGGAGCTCCCTATGGGGCTACGAAACGCTGCCCTGGGTGGGGGAACCGCATGCGAACACCCCCACTGGGGCCTTCGGTGGAGCTCCCTATGGGGCCACGAAACGCTGCCCTGGGTGGGGGAACCGCATGCGAACACCCCCACTGGGGCCTTCGGTGGAGCTCCCTATGGGGCCACGAAACGCTGCCCTGGGTGGGGGAACCGCATGCGAACACCCCCACTGGGGCCTTCGGTGGAGCTCCCTATGGGGCCACGAAACGCTGCCCTGGGTGGGGGAACCGCATGCGAACACCCCCACTGGGGCCTTCGGTGGAGCTCCCTATGGGGCCACGAAACGCTGCCCTGGGTGGGGGAACCGCATGCGAACACCCCCACTGGGGCCTTCGGTGGAGCTCCCTATGGGGCTACGAAACGCTGCCCTGGGTGGGGGAACCGCATGCGAACACCCCCACTGGGGCCTTCGGTGGAGCTCCCTATGGGGCCACGAAACGCTGCCCTGGGTGGGGGAACCGCATGCGAACACCCCCACTGGGGCCTTCGGTGGAGCTCCCTATGGGGCTACGAAACGCGTGAGAGGTGTGCCGAGAGCAGAGGCAAGGAGGGGGAGGAGGAGGAGGAGAGGAGAGGAACGCGGGGCACCGTCTCTTCAAAACGAGGACCCAACACCACAGGATGGTTGGGAAAAACATGGGACTTCTTTGTATATTTGTTTGCGTGTCCCTTGGGCCCCCTCGCTGTCAGAGCGCCGCGCGGGTTGTCCCGGGTCGGCGCCGGGCCCCCCCGTGGCCTGCCGCGCGAAGCTCGCCGGGTGCGGCGCAGAGGAGGCGCCTCCCAGGGGGGGGGGTCCAGCACGGTGTGTTTGTTCAGTGCATGTGGTCGTGCCGTACACGTTGTGCATCTCTGAGTATTCGAGGGTTCTTCGACTTTTTGGGGGGTCAGGATCCTTTCGTTTTCAGTTGTTTTATCCTGGGCCTCTTCCTGGCCGCTAGGGGGCCAGGAACAATTAGAAACGAGCACCATTAGAAATGAGCACGATTACAAGAGAACGACGTGTAGGTACAGAGCCTCCGGCAGTATCGGGAACACGCAGGCCTCCGAAGCGCAGGCTTTCGTCTGTCGCGTATACAGGTCTCTGCCTTTCTAGATGCACCAAACGCGAATGTCGGTGGCCGACCATACGACCGACCAGACCGCGACTAGACGCTCCAGCCTCCCGCGTTGGGTGTCCAGGAGTTCTATACGGCAGTACAGCAGACGACGTGACTTTTCAAACTCGCGGCTCAAGAGCTCCCGCCCCGCAGTTCCTTATTTGGATCCATTCTTGACGGCCCCGGGGTCCAAAACGGCCCCCGTGAGGCCGCAATCGGGGTCGAGCGCGCCAGGATTGGAGCAGTCGTTGCGTCGGAGGTCCACAGGGGTGCCCATGCACCAAACTCCGTGGCCGACCAGACGGCGTGGTGTACGGTCGGGGCGAGGCGTAAGAACCTACTCGGTTGGGGGGGGGCCTGGCATTCCTCGTTTTTGTCCGGATGTGCTTGTGCAGCCTGTGGGCAGGTACCCTCGAATGTTTTTGGGGGACAGCTTTGGACCATTTCTGAACTATTTCTTTGCGGCTTTGCTACGACCGTAGACGTCCAGCCCCTCTCCAGGCGGACGCAGAGGGGCAAGGGGGGCCACGAAAACTGCTGCGTGCGTGCGGCTTCCGCCCCACTGCTGGGCGCATGACTTTCCTCGGTGCATCGTCGCTCCGGGCTCCTGCCGACGCCAACCCAGCTGCATGCCATATGTCGCCGCACGGCGTGTTCTGACGCGCGGCTCTGCGTCTTGGGGAGGACGCGGCGGGCACTAGGGCAAACTCCGCCTCGGGCGCAGGGCTTGCCGTGGGGTTTGCCGCGGCGCCGGCCTCGTTCGCTTGGGCGCGGGACGCAGGGTTTGCCGGGGTTCTGCCGTGGGTTTGCCGTGGTGTCGGCGTCCTCCGTCGAGACCAAGCGGCGCGGCCACATATGAGATCCGAGCGTTGCAATGTTTCCAACAGGTCTTGCCGCCGGGCTTCGGGGCCCCGGCTGGCATTCGCGGACCGATTCGCCTCAGGGAGCAGGCGCAGAAAAATAGCGCCCATGGCTCCATCCGTGATTTTCAACGGTGTTGCAGTTTTTCGACCCTTGAGTTTTTGCTCCTCCTCCTAGCTTCCCTGAAGACCGAATGGTCAGAAGAGGAGGAGGCGGAGCAGGAGGAGGGGAGAAGGAGGAGAAGGAGGAAGAGGAGGAGGAGGAGGAGGAGGAGGAGGAGGAGGAGGAGGAGGAGAAGAGAGGAAGAGCAGGAGGAGGACGAGGAGGAGGAGGGAGGAGAGAGGAGGAAGAGGAGTATAAGGGGAGGGGCGAGGGAGGAGGAAGGGGGGAAGAGGAGGAGGAGGAGGAGGAGGAGCAGTTGGAGGAGGAGGAGGAGCGAGGAGGAGGAAGCGGAGGAGGGGGGGGAGGAGGAGGAGGAGGAGGAGGTGGAGGAGGAGGAGGGGGAAGAGCAGGAGGACGGGGAAAGAGGAGGAAGGAGAGGCGGCAGGATGCGGAGGAGGAGGAGGGGGTGGGGACGGGAGGAGGAGGAGGAGGAGGAGCAGGAGGAGACGAGGCGGAGGAGGAGGAAGCGAGGAGGCGGAGGAGGAGGAGGAGGAGGAGGAGGAGGAGGGAAGAGGAGGAGGGAAGGAGGAAGGGGGAAGAGGAGGATAAGAGCAGGGGGATGCGGAGGAGGGGGGGAAGAGGAAGAGGAGGAGGAGGAGGGAGGAGGAGGAGGAGGACGAGGAGGAGGACGAGAAGGAGGAGGAAGGGAGGAGGAGGAGGAGGAGGAGGAGGATGTTTGGTCCCTTCCCCGAGTGGTCTTCGGGCCACACTTCGTGCCCCAAGCCCTCGTCGGGGGCGATCTCTCCGAACGACACCCCCAGAACGCGATCTATCTATATATGTGAAAGAGCGTGTTCTACCGCTGCTGGCGGAAAACCGGGGGGGGTCACTACCGGTTCGAACCCCTCCCCCCCCCCCCCCCCCTACGGAAAGAAAACCCGGGGGGGGTCACTAACGGTTCGAACCCTCTCCCCCCCCACCCCCCACCCCTGCTCATCATGAAAGGGGGGGGGGTCCCCACTACCGGTTCGAACCCCTCCCCCCCCCCCCCTCTCCGGATCCGGAAAACCGGGGGGCGTCACTACCGGTTCGAACCACCCCCCCCCCTCGAAAACCGAGTGGGGGTGCGGACAGTGGTGGGGACGGTGTTGGTGGGGACAGTGGTGAGGGGATAGCGGGACAGTGGTGGGGACAGTGGGACAGTGGGACAGTGTGGTGGGGACAATGGTGGGAACAGGGGGGGACAGTGGACAGTGGTGGTGACGGTGGTGGTGGGGACAGTGGTGTGGGGACAATGGGAACGAGGTGGAAACAGTGGGGCAGTGGAGGGTACAATGGTGGTGGGGACAGTGGTGAAGGCGGTGGCGAGGACGGCGGTGGGACAATGGGACAGAGGTACAGTGGGGACAGTGGTGGGGACAGTGGGGACAGTGGTGGGAACAGTGGGACAGCTCAGTGGGACAGCGGAGGAGTCAGTGGGATAGTGGGGACAGTGGGGGTAGTCGGGCAGTGGTTGGGGCCGTGGAGACAGTGGGGAGAGTGGAACCGTGGTGGGAACAGTTCTGGGGACAGCGGGGACAGTGCGACAGTGGTGGGGCCACTGGTGGGGACAGTAAGGGCGGTGGTGGAACCAGTGGGGACAGCGGTGGTGAGGACAGTGGTGCTGGGAACACCAGTGGGGGATGTGATGCGGACGGTGGTGGGGACCGGGAGTCGTTTGCTGGCGGGGGTAGGGGGGGGGGGGGGGGGGGGGGCGGTTCGAAACGGTAGTGACCCCTCCGGGTTTTCTGGATCCGGAGGGGCGGGGGGGGGAGGGGCTCGAACCGGTAGTGACCCCCCCGGTTTTCGAGGGGGAGGGGGGGGCGGGGAGGGGTTAGGGGAGGGGGGGGTTTGCGGTTCTGCCGGGGGAGGGGGGGGGGTCCAGCAGGAGTTTTTTTTTCGGAGGGAGGGGGGGGGGCGACCCCCGGGCTCCGGAGGAAAAGGGTTGGAAATTTCCAACAGTAAAGCGTCGGGGATCACGTCTCTTCCTATATGTATATATTAGGGATACGTCGCCGAGGTTAACCGCTTCTACCAGAGACGAGGACAGAGGGAGGAGGAGGAGGAGGAGGAGGAGGAGGAGGAGGAGGAGGAGGAGGAGGAGGAGGAGGAGTAGGACCAGTGTAAACCCAAGGGTCACCAACGATGTTGGAATGAACCCTCCCTCCAAGCTCCTTCTTCATAGGCCCCTACAACGGTTCATTTCCAGTGGTGGAACTGCCGACTGACTCGCGGCGACAAGGGATCATCCGAGCTGACTCTGACAACCGCTTGCTCGAGCTCTCAAGCATCGATGGTGGGGAGGAGGAGGAGGAGCAGGAGGAGGAGAAGGAGGAGGAGGAGGATCATCTCTGAGATCTGACGAAGACGTCCGAAGCCGATTCGCTCCTCCCTCTCGTTCTCCCCGACCCTCACAGCTACCCTTCCTGCGTTTCCCAGCTACCCTTCCTTCGTTTTTCTTTTGTCGGGGCCTCCTGGGAGGCCCTCGTCGCCACCGCTCGATTCGCCCCGGAAGTCTGGGCAGAACGCACCCCAGGAGAGGTCGTGGGATTTAGCGGAATCGATACCTATGGGTTCCCCCATTGTTGTTATCCCCCCCTCGTTCTTGTCGACCCCGTTCAGGAGGGCTGGCGACACCGCAAGGATCCGGGCATGAAGAAGATGTTGCGGAAAGACATGCCTCGGGCGCCGCTGTGGCAACCCTCCGCCGGCCTCAAAATTGTCCCCCTCCCCCACCCCCGTCTTCTTTTTCCGCGCGCGGACTTGGATGAACAAGCATCGTAATGAGCATCTCTTCCCTCCCTCTCCCTCCTCGTCCTCTTCCTCCTCCTCGTCCTCCTTCGTCTCTTCCTCCCCCTTCCCCCTCCTACTCGTCCTCCCCCTCCCCCTCCTCCTCCTTCCCCCTTCCCCCTTCCCCTGTCACTACTCATCCCTTTCTTTCTGTCTTCTCGTCCTCCCCTCCTCTTCCTTCTCATCCTCCTCCTCCTCCTCCTCGTCCTCCTCCTCCCCCACTCCTCCACATCACTCCGCATCCCCACCTCCTCCTCCCCCTCCTCCTCCTCCTCCTCCTCCTCCTCCTCTCCTCCCACAATTCCTCCTCCTCCTCCACCTCCCTCCACATGTCCCTCCCCCTCCTGCCAGATTTTTTCTTTGGGACTCGCTCAGGCCGCCCTTTTGAGCAGGTGCCTTGGCCGTGACGGCGAGGGGGGGCCGAAGGCCAAACTCTTGCAAGCGCGCCTTAAAACACCCGATCCTCCCCAGACCCCCTTGAGTTCTGCAAATACCACGACGGGAGGTTTGTTTTTCCCTACATGCGGCCTGCTGGGGCCCTCACGGGGCCACGGGGCTGTGAAAAGACGGGGCAGGATGAAAAGCCAGTCCCGGGGAAGGGGTCGAGACCTCGGGGGGTCGACGTCATGAACAAAATCCTGACGTTGGGGGGCTGGGAACAGCGGTACGGCAGGTTCGCGTCGCGTCGACCGGCGGCGACTTCGCCGCCAGCGTTGAACGTTGGACGCCGCTGTTGATCCAGAGTCGATCCATGTTGACCGACCTGCAGTTTCGGAAACAGGATGAACGATCCCCGCGGCGTCAGGAACCAACGCCTGGTCGGTACGGCACGAACTTGCGGTGTCACGTAAATGTTCCCACCGTCCTGCTCCTAGGCCAGGCGGCCCTGATGGCGGGACACTTTGCCTTGAACCTTTCCTGGCTCGCTAAAAAAGGAGAAGGTGTCTGAAGTCGCGGGATGCCAAAAAGGAGAAGGTGTCTGAAGTCGCGGGATGCCCCCCCGGTGGCCTCTGAAGGCCCCAGGAGGCCTCCGAAGTTCTAGGCCTTCCAGATGGGGTCCGAGCAGATGGAGTCAGAGGATCGCGCCGCGTCGCCGATGCACCTCGATCCGATCTTTCCCACGCGGACGTCGCCGCTGCATCGCTGACGTCGCCGACGCATCGCCGATGCATCGTCGATGCGGCACGATCCTCCGACCCTATCTACTCGGATCCCATCCAGGATGCTTCTAGAAGTCTTCCAGTGGCTCAAAAACTGGCACAATCGCGGCAGATGCTTTTGGCGCTTCGCGTATTGCTACCAGCCCACCCAGAAGTGATGCCTAGGGGAGTTGTCGAGTGGAGGGGCGCAGATAATCATGTATTTGACATAGCAGAGAGGTCAGCAATTGTGAACTTACGGTAGGTTTGCGTCGTGTCGACCAGCGGCGACCCCAGCGCGGACGTTCAAGGTTGAACGCCGCCGGCGACCCAGAATCGGTCGATGTGGAACGATCGGACGTTGCGGCAGCGGCCGATCGTTCAAGGTTGAACGATCCCTGCGGTGTCAAGAACCAACGCTGGGGTCGGCACTACACGAACCTGCCGTAGATACCTCTTGCGACTTCTTGGAAGCCCATTGGAGTCATCTTGGAGCTCGCTCGGGGCCCTCTGGGGGGCCTCTGGAGGTGCTCTTGGGGTTCTCTAAGGGCCCTTTTTGGGGCCTTTCGGATCCTGCTGGGGCCATCGCAGAGGACGTCGATAGAAGAACAGGGAGGCGGTAGCCGGATGCAAGCATATCGTTTCTTGGTGCCCTCTTGGGGAGGTCTTTAGGGCTCTTGGGGCCGCCTTGGAGCCTGAATATGCCCGTACTGGGGCTCTCTGAGACGATCTTGGAGCCATCTGAGGCCTCAGAAGCCCATCGGCAGCGAAAATGGGAGAAGGTCAACATGAATAAGAAAATGGTTTTAAGAGTTGTTGGCATCTCAGAAGGGGCGGTCCGGAAACCGCCCCCCCCCTCCTGGTTCAACGGGGGGGAAACGGTACGAAACCTTCCCCGTCCCCCCCTCCAAGCGCCCCTTGCCCATCTCGGGCTGGCGCCGGCGCCAGCGGCGGCTGTGGGCTGCAGCGGGAAGCGTCGACGAGGACGACGATTCAAGGGGGGGAGGGGGGTTCGACCCCCCTTTCTCCGAGCCGGCGCCAGCTGGCGGCGGCGCCGCCGCCGCCCGCGAGGAAGACGACGACGACGAGCACGAAGGCGACGACGACGACGACCACGACGACGACAGCGACGACAGCGATGACGACGACGACCGAGACGACGACGGGGACGACGACAGCGACGAAGACGACGACATGCACGACGACGGCGAAGACGACAACGATGACGAAGACGACGGCGACGACGACGGCGACGACGACGACGACGACTGCGACCAAGGTGATGAAGAAGACGACGCCGAAGACGACGATGACGGCGACCACGTCGAAGTCGACGGTGCTGACAGTGATGACAACGACGGCAACGACGACCGCGACGACGGCGACGGCAGGGACGACGAGGACGCCGACGACGTGCACGGCGACGACGACGACGGCGACGGCGACGACGGCGACGACGACGACGACGAGCCCAGCGACGCCGACAACGACGACGGCGATGGCGACGACGACGACGACATTGAGGACGAGTACGGCGAGGGCGACGATGATGACGACGACGACGAAGGCGACGACGACGACGATGGCGACAACGACGACGACGACGACGACGGCGACCACGACGACGACGACGACGACGAGGGCGACGAGCACGACGACGGCGGCGGCGACGACGACGACGTCGGCGGCGACGGTGGCCACGACGACGACGACGACTGCGACGACGGCCTCGACGGCGACGACGACGACGGCGACCGCGACGACGGCGACGACGGCCACGACGGCGACGACGACGACGTCGACGACGGCGACGACGACGACGGCGACGACGGCGACGGCGGCGGCGACGACGACGACAGCGACGACGACGGCTACGACGACGACGACGACGGCATCGACGACGAGCAGGACGACGGCGACGACGGCCACGACGACGACGATCTCGACGATGACGAAGACGCCGACGACGACGAAGGCGACGCCGACAAAGACGACGACGTTGACGACGACGACGGCGACGACGACGTGCACGACGACGGCGGCGACGACGGCGGCGACCAGCACGACGAAGACGACGGGGACGTTGACGACGAGACGACTGTAACGACAACGACGACCAGCACGGTGACGACGACGCCGACAACGACGACCACGAAACAAAGAAGACGACGGCATCTTTGACGACGACGACGAACCCGACGATGACGACGACGACGACGACGACGGTGACGCTGCCGCCGCCGTCGTCGACGACGACGACGAACACGACGACGACGGCGGCGACGACAGCAACGACGACGACGACGTCGACGGTGGCGACGACGACGAAGCCGACGATGATGACGCCGGCGTCGGCCATGACGACGACGACGACGACGACGGCGACGACGACGACGACGACGGTGACGAGCACGACGACGACAAAGACGACGGCAACAACGACGACGAAGGCGGCGACGACGACGACGGCGGCGACTACGACGACGACCACGGCGGCGACGACGGCGACAGCGTCGACGACGGCTCCGACGACAACGACCACGACGGCGACGACGACGACGACGAAGATGACGGCGACGAAGCCGACGACGGCGACGACGACGCTGGCATTGCCGATTTCGACGACGACGACGGCGAGCAAAACGCCGACGACGACAGACACGATGACGACGACGGCCACGACGACGACGACGAAGGCGACGACGACGGCGACGGCTTTGACGTCGACGGCGGCGACGATGCCGATGGCGACGGCGACGACGGCGACGGCGGCGGCGGCGACCACGGCGACGACGACGACGACCACGACGACGACGACGAGCACGGCGACGCCGCCGACGGCGAACACCAGGACGACGACGACGGCCACCACGATGACGACTAGAGCGACGACGACGACGACGACGGCAACGACGACAACGGAGACGACAAAGGCGACAACGACGGCGACGACGCCGACGAGGATGACGGCGACGACGACGATAAAGACGGCGACGTCCGCGACGTGTGCGGCGACGACAACGACGACGGCGAGCACGACCACGACGACGGCGACCACGGCGACAACGACCACGATAAAGACAACGCCGACGTCGGCGACGACGATGGCGACGGCGACGGCGACGACGACAGCGACCATGGCGACGACGACGATGAGGGCAACGACGGCGACGACTGCGACGATGACGATGACGACGACCGACGGCGACGACAACGATGACGACGACCGACGGCGACGACGATGACGTCGAGCACAAGGACAAGGACGGCGACGACGAAGACGGCGATGACAACGGCGACGGTGGTGACGTCGGCGACAACGACGACGACGTAGACGACGACGTCGATGACGACGGCGACGGTGACGACGACGACGACGACGGCGACGTCAGCGACGCTGACGGCGACGACGACGACGACGTCTACGGCGACGGCAACAACGACCCCGGCGACGACGGCGATGGCGACGACGACGACGATGGCGACGACGTCGGGGACGACGACGACGGCGACTACAACGACGTCGACTACGACGACGGCGACGCCATCGACGAGGACGACGACACCAACCACGGCTACGACGACGACGGCGACGACGAAGGCGACGAATACCATGGCGACGACGACGACGACCATGACTACGACGACGACGACGTTCTACGACGCGGGCCGAGACCACGATGGCGACGACCAGCACGATGACGACGAGCACGACGTAGACGTCGACGTCGACGATGATGGCGACGACGACGGTGACGACGACGACGAGCACGGTGACGACGACGACGATTGCGACGATGACGACGAAGACGACGACGACGAGGGTGACGACGACGACGACTGCGACGACTATACGACAACTACGACAACGTCGGACGACTGTGACGACAGCGACGACGACGACGACCAAGCCGACGACGACGGCGACAACGACGACGAGCACGAAGACGACGATGTCGACTACGACGACGGCGACGACGATGGCGACGAGGACGGCGACGACGACGGCGACGTCGACGACGACGACGTCGACGAAGACGACGACAACGACGAAGGCGACGAATACCATGGCGACGACGACGACGACGACCATGACTACGACGACGACGACGTTCTACGACGCGGGCCGAGACCACGATGGCGACGACCAGCACGATGACGACGAGCACGACGTAGACGTCGACGTCGACGATGATGGCGACGACGACGGTGACGACGACGGCGAGCACGGTGACGACGACGACGATTGCGACGATGACGACGAAGACGACGACGACGAGCACGACGACGAAAACAGTGACGACGACGACGACGGCGAAAATGACGACGACGACGACGACGACGACGTCAACGACGACGACAGCGACGATGACGGCGACGACGTCGACGACGACGACGACGACGGCGACGCCTCGACGGCGTCGACGACGACGGTGGTGACGACGACGACGACGACGGCGACGACGACGGCGACGACGACCACGGCGGCGCCGACGACGGCGATGGCGACCACGACGACTGCGAGCATGACGACGGACGACGACGACGTCGATGACGACGACGTGACCGACGGCGACTACGGCGACGACGACCGCGATAACGACGACAGCGAGGGTGACGACGTCGACAACGACCACGACGGCGACCGCGACGAATGCGAGCATGACGACGACTACGACGATGACGACAATGACGTTGACGCGGACAACGACGACGACCACGACGACGACGACGGCCACGGAGAGCGAGGGAGGCACGCGACGCAACGCGAATGAAATTTGTATTAAAGGTCCGGGCCCGTCAATATTCCGACATATCGTTGCCGTCGTCGTTTTCGTCCTGGTCATCGTCGACGCGTCGCCGCCGTCGGCGATGCGAGCCGCCGCCGCCGCCGCCGGCGCCGCCGCCGCCGCGGAGGGTTTGGGGGGAGGAGTTCGGGGAAGGGTGGGTGAGGGTGGAGTCCCCTTGGTTCCGTTCGACGGTGCCGAATGTTCGGGGGGGTGCCACCCCCCTCGGTGGGGGCCCCCGCCCCCAGTTCAAACGCGCCGCCAAATTTTCCTAAGGCAAGCGCCCGTGAAACGCGCTCCCTCGCATCTCGGAGGCGATTTTGGGAGGCTCCGAGGCCACTTCGAGCCATGTTGTGGCCGCCTTGGGGCTTCTTGCGCGCAGATGTGAAGCCATCTCGAACCGCATTGAGCTATCTTGAGCCAAATCGGATTCCATACTGGAGGTCATGTTCTGCTATCTGCGGCCCTCTTGGAGCGATCTTGGGCCATCTCCGACGCTCCAGCACGCCGCATTTGGGGGAGGAGAACATGCTGTTCCGAAGGGAAAACAGGGTCTTGGAATACTTAGCCTCTTAAGCCACCTACGCCCAGAGGGCTTGTGGGATTCTAGGGCCCCTCTTCCTGGCCCCTCCTCCTCGCCTCTCCTCCCGTTTTGTGCCTGGAGGTACCAGGGAGGCTGGCACATGCGCCCGAAGTATCAACAGGGCGTCGCGACCAAGAACTACCCCTGGGCGGGCGTCCCCGTCGGCAAGAGCGGCACGGCCTACGTCATGCGCAAGTGAGCGGCCGACGGCGGCCGGCCGCACGCGAGGGAGGGGTGGATGATGAATATGAGGAGGAGGAGGAGGAGGAGGAGGAGGAGGAGGAGGAGGAGGAGGAGGAGGAGGAGGAGGAGGAGGAGGCCATTTTGGCAATTTTTCCGTTCGGCCCCCTGGCGCCCTGCCCGCGGGCCAAACCAGGTGCCGTCGAAGCGCGGTCACGCCGCGCCACCGTCGCCGAAGGGCGACTCCCAGCCCGCCTCCACGCGCGCCTGCGCCCAGCGCGCCGCGGCGGCGGGCGAAGCGAAGCCGTGGAGCGCGGCCGCCTGCCAGGCATCCGCCACGGCTGGCCGCAGCCCCCAGCGCGGCGGCCGCCCAGCCCCAGCGGGGGCCCCAACGCCGCCTGCCTCGCCAGCGCCTCCTCGGAGCACCGCCGCGAGCCGCGCCTGCTCCTCGGCCGTGGGCGCCTGCGGGGCGAGGAGCCGCACCTTGCTCTTCGGCTCCTGGAGCCGCATCAGGAGCCGCCTCGCCTCTGCCGCCCGCTCGCCGGGGGCAGGTCGCCCCTTGCAGCTGCCCAGCAGGCCAGTCCCTGCAGGAGGGGACCTCTTCCAGAAACGGCAGCCACACTTCAGGCACCAGGCCATGGCCCCGTCACCGTTCTCCAGGCGAGAGACGACGACGCAGTGCCCTCGCACCTCCCGCGCCACGCCTGCTCCTGCCACAGCTGCCTGCAGCTCGGGGGCGGCTACCGCAGCGTCCTCGAGCTCGACGGCGGCGGCCTCGGCGGCGGCGTCGGGTGGCTGGCCGAGCTCCGCGCCAGCAGCAGCCCCAGCACCAGCAGCAGGAGCCTGGCCATGCACGAGCTCGGCCTCGAGCGCCGCCGCCGCCACCTCCTCGTCGGCCTGCTCCGCCGCGTCCAGCGCCTCCTGCGGGATGTCGTAGACGAGGTCGGCCGTGCCTACCACCCCGTCGGAGTCCAGCTTCCCGTGGTCCACCATGGTGGCGGCCAGCTCGCCGATCCAGCGCCCGAGCTCCTCCGCACGCCAGGCGCACGCCTGGAGGAACCAGACCAGCTCTCGTCGATCGGCCACAGGGCGGCGCCCCTCTTGGCCCACAGGTCGGCTGCCCTGTTGCCCTTGATCATGGGCTCCTCCCCCCAGCTGGACGCCGCGGCGAGCGCCTTGTGCGCCTTGACCTTGCGCACTGTGGCCGTCAGGCCAGGCCCCGCCCACCACTCCTGCCACAGGTGGCGGCGCGCCTGCAGCGGCGCGAGGGCCTTGCCCCGCGAAAGCGCCAGGCCGACCGTGCCAGCACAGTCGCAGAAGACCTCGAGGCCCGCGCCGTCGTCCGACGCCTGCCAATACTGGGCCAGCATGTGGAACGCGTAGTCCTCGCCGTCCCTGGCCTCCTGCTCGGGTCCGTACCTCCACGGGACGATGCCGTGCATCCCGCCGATGACTTCCCCGCCGAGGCCGATCTGCACCACGGCCCAGCCAGCGCGGCGTGCCCCTCGCAGCGCGGGGAACCTGGCGCTGCCATCCACGAAGACCCTGCCTGCGAACTTCGAGCGTGGCGGCACGCCGAACCAGCGCGGGGCCGCGAGCGCAGCGTCCGCCGCCGCGGGGAAGGCAAGGGCAGGGTCGGGGCAGAGCGCACGCGCGAAGAGCTCCGCCGCGGCATCCCCGCGCTGCGCCACCAGCCTTGCCCCTTCCAGCAGCTCGGGCGAGCACGCCTCCCTCCGCAGCGGCTGCCAGGCGTCGCACTCGAAGGCCCTGTGCCACAGCGTGCCTCTGCCTCCACACAGGCAGCAGCGGCCGTCGAGCGCCTTGCCCTCCTTCCAGAGCCGCTCCTGCGGCCAGTGGGAGCCGCCGAGGACCGCCACGAGCGCACGCCTGTGACGGGCCTGCCAGAGCGGCGGCGGTCGCGCGGGCCCCTGGCGGCCTGAGCCAGGGGCGGCCTCAGCGGAGGCCTGCTCCTCGAGGCGGCGGCTCACGCGGAGGAGGCGCTCCAGCCCCTTCCAGTTCACAGGCCATGCCCAGGCGCCAGGCCCGCGCAACCGCTGCAGCGCGAGCACATCCGAGGCCAGCAGCGCCGACGCGCGCACCACCTGCACCAGCATGCCTGGCGAGAAGAACTCCAGCGAGAAGACCCGCGCCTGCCAATCGATGACGGCATTGAAGGCCACCATCTCGCAGCCGACCCGCCTCAGAGCCAGTACACACGCCTGTGCAGGGTCACGGCACTGCCCCCAGGGGCGGCGCAGCTCCAGCAGGCCTTGCGCCCCGCGCCAGCACTCCTGCACCACCGCGGCACTGGGCAGGCCCGTCTCCAGCGTCATGCCCCAGGAGCGTGCCACCTCCACCGCGTGCACCACGAAGGGGTCTCGGTAGGCGGCGCCTTGCTGGGCCCGCAGCCGCAGGCCAACGCTGGCGCCCATGGGCAGCTTGCCCTCCGCGCGCATGGCGGCGGCCCGCAGGCCGTGCAGCTTCCCGCAGGCGAGGCCCGTCACGGCGGAGCCCCAGAC